CAAGTAAAATATCGTAAAAGCGATTTGACCATTGGTATGATTATTTACTATTATCGTTCGAAAAGAGTACAAATTTACAAAAAATAATAATAAAAAAAAAACTTTCTTACGACGATAAAATACATGTAAACTTAATGAATATTTTATATGTGGTTGATCGTCTATAACCTTATTTTTATTTTATTTTATCATAGAAATAAAAATGAATAATTCAAACATCTCCAGAATTGATACTTTAGAAGAAGACGACGACCAATCATCATCTTCTCCAATTTCCGATTTCGAAATTATTAGTAACTGCGAAGATGATATAATAAGCATTTCATCTAGCCATGAAAATTGTGATGAATCAGCTGATGAACTACCCGATGAAGAATCAGAATCTGATGATGAAAATCCGATCGAATTGTTAAATGACTCGGATTTTTTGTATTCTGATAGTGATGATAACCAAACAATATATGATGGCGACAATCTTAGGAGTTCTAGAAGATCTACTTCCTCAGAACAAAAAAGATCATCGGATTTTCTTTCAGATTCAAATTCTATTGATAATGTTCAAGTATCTGGTATATGTGAGTCTCACGACTCTAATAATTGGTGTAGCAAGTGCCGCCCGAATTGGCATCCTAACATAAATTTTAATGATACTTTCAAAATCAAAAACTTATCGATTAGTAAATTCTTGATTAATAGCAACGAGAGATCTCATTGTTCAAGTTGTACTCCCATTTGGATTGATTTTAAAAGTGGATTGGATCCAATTATGACTAGTGAAGGCCTTATTTTGGCGAATCCAACTTTCATGAACCCTGGTTCTAGATCTCATTCGGGAAATAAAACGAATGTGGTAGCATTAAGAAAAATTGGTTTAACTAATAATTATGATGAAACTTATTTCTCTGATGTATGTACTATATTACTATTCTTTTGAATGTATGATGTTAATTTTATATTTGTATATAATACAATTTATTTTTTTTAATCGTTATAGCTTTCCGAGTGTAAATCATGCATATACAAATCAGGTCATGTTCTTCCATACCTTGGTGTCACTTTTCATCCTGAAAACCTTAGATATATGGTCGTGATGCCATTCTTACCAAATCGCAATCTAAGAGAATATTTGAAACATCCGGATAATTTTAAATCTTTCATTTGGTCGCGCAGGCTTAGCATGTTACATACGATTGCAATTGAGTTGGCAAATCTGCATAACCTAGGAATAATCCATAAGAACTTGCATCCAAATAATATCTTGATTGGCAAGGATATCGAAGACCCAATGATTTCTGATGTTGGTTTAATGCCTCAATTACCTTGTGCTAATTCGTCTGATGAATACGTTGTTCATGGTGTCCTTCCATATATTGATCCAAAAGTTATGACTGGCTCGGATTTCTCCTCAAAATCTGACGTTTATTCTTTTGCCTTCATTATGTGGGAAGTTGCCACTTGTTCTTTACCTTATACTGATTGTCCCCATAATAAAAAATTGGCTAAGAAAATCGTGGAAGGAAAACGTCCTCTTATTCCAGATCATGTTCCATCTTTTTATGCTGAATTAATTAGGATGTGCTGGGATGCATTTCCAGACAATCGTCCTGATATGAGAGAAATTGCTGGTATTTTCAATTATTGGAGAAACAAACTGGTTGTTTCTGGTTCTAATTATGGTAATTACAACACAAATGAGCATAATACTATCTACAAAGAAT